TTTTTTATTTTTAATTATAAATTTATTTTTAAGTTATAATTATATTTTTCACATTTAAATCCCTAACTGCTATAAATCCTGAAATATGTTACCAAACAGTTTCTCAGGATTTAACATTTGGCATACCAAACAGTTTCAGTATTTAACACATTTCGGATTTACTAAATCCGGATTTAAAGGATTTACTAAATCCCACTAAAGTTAAATCCCACTTGTTGCCAAACAGCCCCTTATTGTTCTAAACAACGAATCGTGCAATATCCTTATTTCATCCATTTAAAAGCATTTAGTCCTACATCATTATACACTGGGACGATCAGACCCAAATAACTGGCATCTAAGGAAATCATTGTCAAAAGCAGCTGATAGCAAGCTGAGCTAAATTGAATATGATAATTTCAGTATCGTGAGAACATTAAGTCGTAATTAAGTCTTGATTCAAGCAAGTTTATTGAATGTTCGCAACTTTTAAGAGTAGTGAACTTACGCTTCTAGCTGAAGTTGAACTAGAGTTTCCTTCCTGAAGGCCAATTAGAAAGAAATTATTAGTGTAAGGAATCAGTAGTTTCAAAATAAAATCTTGCTCGATAACAGGATTCATTCACGTAATCACAAAGCTCACTTTTGTTGGAAATCGTAAGTTCCCCAGCAATCATGGTTGCCCAAAATTGCTGCTTTTGGAAAGTCAAGATTTGAAATGCTTCTAACAAGTTCAACGTTCTCATTACCAAAATCACCTTCATAAAGAATAGTAGGATAAACAGCATAAAATAACTTGAGAAAGAATGTGAATATATGATAAAAGATTAATCACCAATGAGAGAACGAATTGAATTTTGTAGGGTCAAAAAACAATCGTCACATTTTTCAGGTCATTTGAGGTAATAAATAGGAAAAAAGGACATGCCTGTAAAGAGTACCAGATCAGGCTGCATATCAAAAAGCAAACATGTCAGATTGTAGTGGCAAGTTGATTATAGTTTTTAATTTTTATCAAACAAGAATCAGAAATAAAATAAGGATCCTTAATATCATTATCATCATCATTTTATCCCAACTGTTCGAGGTCGGCTTTATGAATTATTATTTTTCACTCGTTCCTAATAACTGAGGTGCTAAATGTATTCACAACCGTTTTGGACAACTTCTATCCGTGCTATCATAGGCTACAACTTCTCCCTTCTACTTTTCTAACACTAATTCTATCTACACATAAAACAGGTGCCTTTTCAACCGTTTATTATGTATGTCTAGACCACCTAAATCTAATTTCAATTATCGAATATTCAATAGATGCCAATCCTACTTCTCTAATATAAACATTCCTTAATGTATTCTTCTTAATTTAACCACACATCCATCTTAATATTATCATTTATACTATGCTCAAGCCTGATATCAATGAATTTTTTAATACAAATAATTAAATCCAAACAACAACATTGGCATAATTCTGATTAATTAAACTTCCGTATAATTATTTATGATATCCACTTATGACATAATACTCTTGAGATACTCTATTTTAATCATCCAACCTTAACTCAATAAGTTTAATTCTCATATATATCTCCATTCTTCTGTATAATATAGTCAAAACTGATTAATAGTTATAAATACCGTACCAACTAAAATTGCATATCATATATTAAATTTTTGTTCAACTAATTAAGGCCTCTATATTCTAAATATTTTTTTCTGATTTGAATTATAGCAAAGCATCAATAGCTCCTTAGTCCTTTAAGCTTCAATAAGGTCTTTCATTCACGTAAGCTTAAAAGCCTCCAAATAGTTAAGATAAAGCTGACGATGTTGAAAATATTGAAAGATAACTTGTCATTTTAGTTTTAGTATCATTCTTTCTTAAAGCTAAAGGTCCAAGGTGTTTGGTGGTCGTGCCTCAATGTGACAAGTTCCAGCCATTTCTAGACCAACAGTGAAAATCTTTTCCTTGAAAACATATACTAAAACCAATATTCAGTGCATAAAAACTGAGAACAGTGAATTTTCAGCATTATATCAACTGTTTGATATGTTTTGGAATGTAATTTAATAGAAGAAAGAACCAAAGCAATTCATGTTGACCTTTATAACGTTTAAGAGTCAGATAAATACTCATGGTTAATATAGTTATGATTCATTGTATATGTGACTTAAAATAGCATAATAAATATAAAAATATACAAATATATCCTACCGTCACTAATACTTCTATGATGATGCCATTCTGTGAACAACCAAGTTGATTATGAGTTCAGAAAAAGTACCTGTAAAAGGTGAAGGGCATTTGAATCTTCTTTAAGATCCCAATCATCATGCTTCAACATCAAAGAGAGACATTAATGTTACTGATGGACCTTTTAATTGCTAAATGCAAGCTAGTTACCTCATAATAACCATTAAGTGGCAACAAGTACCAAAAGTAGCTGAATAATGGAAAAAAGCTATAGTACATTAGCATGAGATCCTTCTTATATGGACATAGCTTATGTTCATTGTGTAGGTCTAAGAAATAAATATCATAATCGAGGGCCTTCGAACGGGAAAAAATTTTTGTTAATCTTGGCTTCAAGTAAATGACCAATGTAAAAATATTCATGAAGTATACAAATAAAGAGTTGTAAAGTAAGCAGGAATAAAGTAATCATCATTAATAATAAAGCAGACAACAATATTTAAGCACTAATCATATTCATCATGTGGATGTAAAATTAGATGACTGTTATATATTTAACGGTGAGGAATCGGTACTCTGGTTTGTATAAATCTGATCCACTACCGATACGAATATCCATTTGAAAGTGGAGATCCGATAGATCTATCTTCCCCCTTGAAGGACAGATCCATTGCAGCTAGAAATTCAAGACAAAGTTTTGACTGAGTACAACAAGATGAACGGAAGCTGGTAAGAAATCAATTTTTTAGGTTTTATTATTTTTTTAATAAGTAGAAGAGATTCTCCATCTACTTCTTCGCAAATCTTTTTTTAGTTCTTGTCCAGAGATTCCTAGTGTTGGGTTAACTTTATTTCATTCTTAAATAGAACATAAAGAAGATTAACGCACAACACACATCAAGAATTGTATGCATGTTCACCCAATAATGTCCACATTAAGTTGCCGTTGCTGAAGATTTCACTATAGTTTTATTGTGAAGTTTTCAACACCCTAATATAACATAAAGATGATACCCCTCTTTCAGCAAAAAAAATTAAGGCAGCCAAGTATGTGATAAAATCCGCATCCCCTTTTAACCCCCATTATGACCTTATTGCGTCACAAGTTTACTTCTTGAAGCTTAAAAAAATTGAGCTCCACAGTTTAAGACACTTATGCCATCAAAATCATCATACAGGAAAAGTGTTCGATTATTTGAACTAGTGCCGGAAATCAATCACAAAAAGCACAACAACCAGCAATAAAACCAATAAGAACTCGTTTGCTCATCCAAAGTAAAAATGCGGATCAAACAAAAAACAATAAGGTGAATCAACTGGCTCTAACTATAAAAAATCCCAAATATAGAAAAAAAAAGGTATTGTAGAGCTTACCACGTCCCCAACGATCACGATCCTGACAGAAGTCGCCATGGCCGGGCGCCCGAGTCTCTATAAGAGAGAGTAAGAGAGAGCTTACGGGTAGGAGAAGAGAAGAGGATTCTGGCAGCAGAAATAAGGGATGCTTCAGACCTGCACCGGTAAAGACGAGAGAGAGAGAGAGAGCGCTTACGGGTAGAAGAAGAGAAGAGGATTCTGGCGGAAGAAATAAGGGATGCTTCAGACCTGCACAGGTAAAGACAACCATCGTTATATAGAATATTACCTGCTTTCTTCGTCGCTGATCAACTTCTGGAAGAGGAAGTAGTCAATCTGTGGAGGAAGGGCAGACAAGATAATAAAAGAATAATTTTTCTTTTTCTTTTTAATGAGTACTTACCTAATACTTAAAATTATCTTATTTATGTATTTAACACACAAATTTTTATTTACTTATATAACATTTAAAATTTTAAATAACATCAAAAAATAATATAATATTCAACTTCCCTATTAAAATAAATCATATAACTTCTTATATTCTGCCACTTCTTTTATATTTTCTTGAATATCGACTTTCCCATGAAGATCTCAGTGGAGACTATCTCACCTCTTTTTTTTTTTTTCACATGCTATTAGTCCTCTAGATTTTCTTCCCCATCAAGATCATATTGTGACTTTCTCTTTTTGTCTTCATCTCCATCGAGATCCTATAGCGGGCTCCTCATCCCATATGAGCCTTTGGTGATATCCCATCGCATCTTGATTTCCTTTTCATCATCAAGATTTTTGTTAAGAAGATAAAAATGGGTTGATTTGTTGAACCCGAACCTGAACCCTAACTAGGATTTTTTCGGGTCGTGTCAAAAATTGACACCCCTAGTATCGACTATAGATATTTGAATAAGGTAACTATAAAAAACAAGTATCTCTTGCTTATGATTGAAGGATTATTTAATCAACTGGTTGGATGTACAATATTTTTTAAGATCGATCTGTGATCTAATTATCATAAGCTAAAAGATGAGGATGTGGCGAAGATTGCATTTAGCACAATGTATGAAAATTATGAGTTTCTAATCATATTATTTGGAGTAACTAATACCCTAATAATTTTTATGTATTTAAACAGGGCTTTCAAGAAATATCTAGACCAATTTATGATAATTTTTATAGGTGATATTCTGATATAATTTAGATCTGAGGATGAGCATGCAACATATTTGAGGACAACTCTGGAGATTTTGAGGTAGCATCAACTATATGCTAAGTTATCATAATGGGAGTTCAGGATGAAGATTGTTTCTTTTTGGGGCATGTAGTGAGTAATGAAGTTATTTTAGTGGATCATAGACGGTTTAAGCTATTTTTGATTCGTCGAGTCCTATTATAGTTTCTAAGATGCATAATTTCTTAGGCTTGGTTGATTACTATAAGAAATTTGTTAAGAGATTTTCTTAGATTTTTTTGCTATTGACGAGATTGACTCAAAAGTTATTAGCTTTCATATGAACTCCAAAGTGAAAAGAGAGTTTCTAAATGTTGAAGGATTGTTTCAAATCTGCACTGATTCTAACTATTTCTTCATATACAAATAGGTTTCAGGTTTTTAATGATGCTTCACCAAAAGGATTAAGATCTATGTTGATGCAGCATGATAAAGCTATTACGTATGCATCTCGATAATTGAAACCACATAAGAAAAAGTATCCAACCCATGATCTAGAATTAGCTAATTGTTGTATTTAATTTAAAGATATGGATGCTTTACTTGTATGGAGTCAAATGTGAATTCTTCACTAATCATTAAAGTTTGAAGCATATTTTCAGTTAGAAGTATTCACATTTGAGATAGAGGAGATTGTTGCACTTGATAAAAGATTATGGGATGTCTATTTGGTATCAACTTGGTAAGGCCAATGCAACGGATGACACTTTGAATATGAAATTTTCATGTACTTCTCTTTCATTGGCCATCTTTGTAAACTTCTTGGTTCAAGATTTAGAGAAGCTAAAACATAGACTTCATATTCGTTGATACATTTTCAAATCGATGGGCTTAGATGATTATTCAGTCTTCTCTTTAAGAAAGAATTTAGGAAGCTTAGATTGACCAAATTAAGTCTAGTAAGAGACTAGAACTTTTGTTTTTTTTTTTTTATTTTGGTATTATTTTCTATAAAGACGTATTATGGATTCATTTTATTGGTGGTCTAAAAGCTGGGATTCTACATGAGGCACACTATTCAGGTTATATTATTTAATCCAAGAAGCAATAAGATGTATGACAATCTAAAAGGTATATTATGGTGGTTTGGATTGAAGAAGGATGTAACGGAGTTTGTTTCAAAGTGTGAGACATGTAAGCTGATAAAGACATATCATGACTGACTAGGTGTTCTTCTATAGTCATTGTCTATTCCAAAATAGAAATATGAAGAGTTTATGATAAATTTTGTGATGGGATTTCCTAGATCGAGGCAAGGGGGTGATGCAATATGGGCTATTGTTTATTAACTATCAAAATTTGTGCACTTCATTATGATCTGATAGACTAATATAATAGATAAGTTGACACAAATATATATTAATGGCATTATTAGATTACATGGTGTGCCAAAAGTAAATATATATGATCGTGACAGTCGATTTACCTCCATGCAATGAGAGGTATTTAACAGAATATGGGTACAAATTTGCACTTTAGTATGACTTTACATCGACTGGAAAATGAGCCGTTTGAGAGAGGTACTGGAAGTAGGGGTATCAATAATTGTCACGACACAAAAATCTGACTCGAACCCGACCCAAAAATTTTGGGTCAGACACGAACTGATTTCAAAATGGGTTAGGTTCGAAATAACATGTTCAGCTTTCGGGTCGGGTTCGGGTTAACCCGACAACCCCAAATCAGACCCGTTTCGACCCGCGTTGTTTTCATTTCATGTGACGAAGATTAAATTAGGGCTCCGTAGTCTGCATCCGCACATATTTATTTCGTGTCCGCTTCATCCTCTTCTATCCTTAGCTGCTTCGTCTAGGGTTTCTGTTTCTTCTATTCGGATCTCCTCATATCATTGACTATGTCGACGACAGTTTCCTCTCTTTTCCTTCTTTGGCATTTTGTTGGTTTGTGGTGTTCATCGTGTACATCTTGTTTGGCTCAACACAAACATTTACATCGCATGTTGTTTGTATCTCTTATCTTTTTTCTGTTTTCTACTTTTAGAAGCTTGATCTATAAGCATAGTAGAGGGTTGTCTTGCTGTCTTGCTATTAGATCAAATTATTTCGAAGTTCCATAAGAAATTTTTAGGTTTAGGGTTTGTCCAATTTGTTATTGTCATGCTGACTTGTTGTTATCTCGAATATTATATTAATTTTTTTTTTTAAATTTGGTAAAGTTTGGCGTACGTTTTCTGGATTGGCATACTTTCTGGTTTGGGGTTATTTTTGGCTGAAATTTTGATGAGGTATTGTTCAGTTAAATTTATTTTTAGAGTGGTTTTTTGTTTAGTATGTGCTGGTTTTTCAGTTCATTCCTTTCTAGTTTTTAATCAATCACAAGAGGTGTGCAAACGAGCCAAGTCGAGCTCGATGTGCTGGTTTTTTTGTTTAGTTTGTGCTGGTTTTTCAGTTCAATTAATGATGTTATGACATTATGTTGTTATTAGATATTATATCGTGTAAACTATTGACATCCCTAGCTGTTTTGTTGAGTTACTGTTCAGCAATCCATGTTTGGTTGATGGTTATGTGACTTCTGTTCAGTTATATCTGGTTCCAAGAATGTTTTTCAATATTCAGAGGATATGTTATGCTGTTATATTTGCATTTGACAGTTATGTTGTTATACTGAGTTGTTGTTATTAGTGTTTATGTTCAATGTTCAACAATCCAGCATCCCATTAAGTATTGAAGTCATACTCTCTTAGCAAATAATACTTCTTATGCATGATCCCTCACATATGACATGCCCTTATCAACTCTCACTCACTGATAAAATTGGCTATATGATTCCTTAATTCTTTTTAGTGTAAGATGGTTGGCTTTGGTCTTAGAGATTTCACAAAATGCGTTATGTGTTAAAGTCCCAATGTGTTATGTGTATTTTTTAAATAAGAAATTTAACAAATATATTAGAATTAGCATTGTAAATTTGTATTGTTGACTCACATTTCAATCTTTCACTATGTACAACTCTAAAATACAAAATACTGCCTTGGATGACAATACCGCAACTATAAAAAATTATATTGTTGACTCACATTTCATTATTTGATGAATTTTTTAGAGGGTTCATCTGAGCTAATGACTCAATCTTTCAACAAATTCATGAATTTATAATTATATCAATTTTTCTATTTCTATTTTTTGCAGTTAGCGTAAATCTCTATGAGGGCAGCAGACTTTTGGTCTCTAGAGTTCGGAGTTCTTCAAATAGACCAATTTATATTTGTAAATTATAATTTCGAACTTTTTGATTTGTAATTTGTGAAATTATATGTTTGTAATTTGTAATATGTGGTATATAATTTATTTGTTCATTTCATATTTATGAATTATGTATTTTTTTATAATTTATAAGTTAATAAATTGATGTCTTGATTTGCATTGTTTGCTATCTTGGTGGATTTGTTTAGCTGTGTTGCTATATTGGTTGCCTACTTGCACTACATGGTAACTGGGTTGGTTTCCAGCTACTGGTTGTATATTGGTTGCCTGTTATTCACCTGCAAATGAGTCTTCGGGTCAAACAGGGTTAACCCTAACCCTGCTCGGGTCCTGAATATTGACATGTTTCCCTAAACGAGTCGGGTTCAAGTTAACTTGTTTAGTTTCGGGTCAAGTCGGGTTCGACCCGAACCTGACCCGTGGCCTGGTTTTGACACCACTAACTGGAAGATCTTCTAAGACTTTGTATTCAAGATTTTAGGGGTAGTTGGCCGGGATGATCATTTTCCACCGATCGAGTTCGTTTATAACAACAGTTATTAGTCTATCATAGGTGTGGCCCCGTACGAAACTCTGTATGACAGGAGGTTCAGGATCCCTTTATCTTTGACAAAGGTGAGTAATAGATATGTAATATGGTTAGCTTTGATAGACGATGTTATTATAAGATATATCTCATCATAAAAAGATTAAGTCTGTATAGATAGACAAAAGAAATATTATGATCAAATGTATAAAATTATTAAGTTTTAAGTTGGTGATTTTATTTATATCAAAGTTAGTCCTATGAAGGTATCATCAGATTTGAAAGAGTTAGTAAGCTAAGTCCAAGCTAAATTGGTCCTTTTGACATTATTAAGAGGATTGGTAATTCTATTTAGAGATTATTATTGTATG